ATAGATAATATATATATATATAATATATATAATATATATATAATATAATATATAATATATAAGAATTATAATAAATATAAAATCTATATATCTAATAAATATAATTAAAAAAATCTACAAATTTATAATAAATGTAATAAAAATGTAATAAAAACTATCAAAGTAAAAAATTCATATCCTACCGAAACATAATATCTAAATATAAAATTTTAAAAATAATAATAATAATAATAAAAATTTTAAAAACCGATAGAAATACATCATAATTAAAAATAATAACAAAAAATAATAAACTTATCCATAAAATCTTCCATACATTTTATTTCCTATGAATTATAAACATTCTACCACTCACGAATCTCTCGATACCTCTTTTAGAATCATCCTATATGCTTCTCCAAGATTCAGCTTCTTGGAATGCTTCTCTTAAAACCAACTTACCAACCGTCTCCCGATAAGGTGGTCCACCTGTTGATCAGGCTTGAATGAACTCGATGGTAAAATGGACACGATTCTTGAACGAAGCTGTACGATATAATGGCTCCTCAAAGTGGGAGGTTCGCATTATAGGTGGCGACCCGAGGACCTACATTCACGGAGCGGACTCTTCTCTTTTCTCAGTGTGTCTGCCTTGTCTCCTCTCGAGTATTCGTGTCGTATATGTATTCGTATATGTTAGTTGACTTGCTTACCAACCGATTCTCTCAAATTCCACTGGAGAAATTACTCCCTTCCTCCGATTCTTTCTTTTCTCCATATTTTTTTTTTCTCTTTCTATCTCTCTCTTCCTATTTTGTTTCTTTCTACTTTGCATCATCCAGAAGCGTCACGCTTATGGATTGAGAAATTGAACAATATCGAGAAAATGGTCTAAGGAGAGAAAAAAAAAATATATATATATATATTATAAAAAAATATGTTAAACTATCATCGTTAAAATTAAATGATTTAATATTTGGACAAGAAAAATTTATTTAATTCTTTGTAGTCAAATTTTTTGTATAATTATAAATTAATATGATTAAATGATAACAAAAAGCGAATAAAATGAAATTTAATAGATATTCAATTTGATATAGTAGTTGTACATACATAATATAGTAC